TTGGAATTCTCTTTTTAATGATTTTTCAACAACTGCAAACTTAAGTTTCAAGTTCAGGGCGAGTCACTTATTCCTGAACCATTTTCGTGTAAGTGGTTGACCTGTTGTCCCGAGAACCCTAAAGAGGTTAGTGTATATTTTCCACAAACAAGGACATTCTCCTGTGTGACCACAAGACAGCCACCAACAAAAGGGCATTAACATTGATAACGTTAGTATCATCTGATCCTCAGACTGGCTCCAATCAAGTCACTACTGTTCCTTTTCTTCTTTTTTTAGCAAAGTGATCTTGTCCAGGATCATGTGTGACTTTATTTGTCCTGTTTATTCTTCTCTAATCTGGAATGGTTCCTCAGTCTGTCCTTGACTTGCAAGACCCCAGCACTTGCTTTCAAAGATCACAGGTCAGCTGTTTTTTGGAATATCCCTAATTTTGCCTAATCTGTTGTTTCTTCACGATTAAACCCAAGCCATGCGTCTTTGGCACAGAGACCGCAGAAGTCATGCTCTGCTCCTGACTATGCTCTATCAGCGGCTACATGATTTACATTCGTCCTGTTAGCCTTGAATCAGTTTGATCTGAATCCTCTTTTTAATTTTTCTTAAGTAATCTCTGCTCTTAATGTGGGGCTCAGACTTAGGACCCCAAGATTAAGAGTCACATGCTCTACTGACTGAGCCAGCCAGGAGCCCCTCCTCTTTTTTTTTTTTTTTAAATTGAGATATAATTGACATAGAACGTTGTGTAAGTTCAAGGTGTACAACCTGTTAACTGATTCACCTAGATATTGCAATAGGGTGCTACTGTTTTGTTAGCTGGCACATCCCATCCCCTGATGATCATTTCTTTTCTTTTTGTGGTGGGAACACTTATGATCTAGTTTCTCAGCAACTTTGAAGTATATAGTACAGCCCTGTCAACTATAATCAACTCATTCATCTTCTGATTGCATGTTTGTACCCTTTAACCGACACCTCTGCAATTTCACCCCGAGCCCCTGGTAACCACCATTCTGCTGTTTCTGCAAGTGATTGGACTTGTCTTTCTCTGCTTCAGAGAAAGAAGTAAAGAAATGGCAAAGGTATGGATAACGGAGGTTAAAATTACCCTTCCACTTGATCGAAGTGTTTTGAATAATTTGATCGGTGTTGTTGGAGTAACTCAGATAAATCCTGTATCAAGTTGTCAGAGAGCAGAGACAGAGCCTCAGTCTTTCCTTTAAAAATTAGCCTTCATGCTTAGGTCACCCGGGGGACGCAGCTGGTTAGGTGTCCGACTTTTGATTTTGGCTCAGGGTCGTGATGTCATGGTCCTGGGATAAAGCCCACCTTGGGCTCCGTGCTCAGTGCTCAGTGGGGAGTCTGCTTGGGATTCTCTCTCTTCCTCTTCCTCTTCCCGCTCACTTTTTTCTCTCAAATAAAAAATTTTTTTTTAAAGATTTTACTTATTTATTTGACAGAGAGAGATCACAAACTGGCAGAGAGGCCGGCAGACGGGGAGGGGGAAGCAGGCTTCCCGCTGAGCAGAAAGCCTGATGCAGGGCTCCATCCCAGGACCCTGAGACCATGACCTGAGCTGAAGACAGAGGCTTTAACCCTCTGAGCCACCCAGGTGCCCCTCAAATAAAAATTTCTTAAAAATAAATTAGCCTTAATGCTGTAATATTTAAGATATACAAAAGGTATAAAGAATACTATATCTTGAATTATAATAACGTGGTATATAATATAAAACATATATTTTTAACTGGGTTATTACATATTACTTTATATGTAACAAAAAAGTGCAAAATATATAATGTAATATAATATGAATTCTCAAACCATCTAGTACAAGAATTCAGCTAAATCTCTCGTGAGTTCTTCCCTAGCTTCCGTCTGTTCTGAATTTGCTCAGAACTGACTGACCCAGGCTTCCCTGACAAACTGACAAAATCCAAGGTTTGGGAGGCAATTTAAGGCAATTAGATCCTAACTCAGGCCAGACAAGGATTTTTTTTTTTTTTTTTGAGGCGCTACTAAGCTTATTCCGCCATCTGGCGGCCGCACATGGAATTGCAGTCACTCATGTTTCCCGCCCCCATCCCCACCTTCTCAGTAGTTTTCTTAAAAAAATTTTTTCAAGGCACCCGAATGGATGCTCATGGGATAGAAGAAATTATCAATTTCAATAAATTCTTACGAACCATCAAAAAAAATTTTTTCCCCCTGCAGCACCTGGGTGGCTCAGGAGGTTGGGCGTAGGACTCCTGGTCTTGCCTCCATGGTGATCTCCGAGTTTTGGGGTCGAGCCCCGCATTGGACTCTGTGCTCAGTGGTGGAGTCCTCTTGGGGTCCTCCCCTCTCCCTCTGTCCTTCCTCTTGTTCACCGGTACACACCCTCTCTCTCTCTAAATTAAATCTTAAAAAATAAATTTTTTCCTTAAACTTAATTTTGAAATGTACAATCTGAGAGGGGGCAGGGAAGCCATTGAGCCATTGAGTCTTCAGTGGGGTCCTAGGGGCACAGTTTAAGATATTTTTTAGGGGCACCTGGGTGGCTCAGTGGGTTAGGCATCTGCCTTCGGCTCAGGTCATGATCCTAGGGTCCTGGTCCATCCTGGCATCAGGCTCCTTGCTCAGCGGGTAGCCTGCTTCTCCCTCTGCCCCTCCCCCTGCTTGTGTTCCCTCTCTCGCTGTGTCTGTCAAATAAATAAAATCTTTAAAAAAATAATTTTTCAACAATGTAAAATCTGATTTTCTTAAGTTGGATATATTATAACTGATCCCTAAATCTCTGGTTTTACAAGTGACCACCATGCACTGGTGAAAACACTTAAGTATTAGTTGCTCACATTTATAACTTTTCAGTCTTCGATGTATGTAGTGTGTGTGTGTGTGTGTATGTATGACTCCAAAACTTACTGCTAATATATGAGAGGCGCTGATGTAGATGCTAGCACAAACAAGAATCATGTCAATGTCAAATTAACAGTGTTTCTAATTCTATTCTGTGAAGCAGGAAACCTCTTTATTAATCTATAAAAGAAAGGAGCCTAACAGAGTAAATAATACTTCTGATCACCTATTAGCTGCTAGATGATCACATCATTTATGAGAAAATGTCACAGTGCATTTGCATCGTTTGAAATATACTAAGTTAGTCATTACCAAGTTGTGTGATAATCATTCTTGAGATTCCTGTGGATGTTAAATTCACCGGTGAAAGTCTGGTGGGAAAAGGCTCATTATGTAATTTCAAAGTATCTTTTCACCAATTAGTCATTAATCACAGCAGAAGTAGTCATGGCTTTGCAGTGGAGAGATACAGCCGATTCCACCTTAGCCAAGTGGTCAAAGTTATCCCTTTGGGACAAGCCAACAGTATGTGCCCACTGACACAACACACGCACAGGGCTCAGCTTACATCGTTTCTATGGCATTCTGCAAAAAATACATAATTTGAATTTATTCATGAGAAAGGATTAGATGAGCTCAAATTGAGGAACATTCTAGAAGACAGCTGGCTTGTATTCTTCCAGCACATTACAAACATGAAAGAGGCTGAGAAACCGTTCCAGATAAAAGAACACTGAAAAAATGCAGGACAGCCGATGGCTCTGCGGGGTCCTGGATGGGGAAACGGCTCCCGAGCACACAGCTGGGGTCTACTTATACGCCAGCACACGACTGGGGCATACCGATACACCAGCATATGACTGCAGCATACTTGTGCACTAGCACACGATTGGGGTCTACTTATACACCAGCACACGACTGGGGTCTACTTATGCACCAGCACACGATTGGGGTATACTTATGCACCAGTACACGATTGGGTCATACTTATACCCCAGCACACAACTGGGGTCTACTTATGCACCAGCACACGATTGGGTCATACTTACACGCCAGCACACGACTGGGGCATACTTATGCACCAGCACACGACTGGGGTATACTTATGCACCAGCACACGACTAGGTCATAGTTATGCACCAGCACACGACTGGGATATACTTATGCGCCAGCACACGACTGGGGTATACCATGCACCTCTCCGTCCCTCCGGAGAAGACAGCACAGATCTGGGAAAAACGGAGGTCGCTGGCGAGGACCACGGGAGCCCTTCCACGGCCCATGCGGGTTCTCCGCGACGGCAGTGCCTCCAGCAGGGGTTCCCGAGGACCGGCTCTCCGCGGTGTTCCGACAGGAGAGCGCGGGGCCCTGCGCGGGGGGAGCGCACGGAGAGCTCCGGCCCCGGGGCAGAGCCGCGGCTCCCGGCGGGCGGGCTGTCCGAGGCTCCCCCCGGGCGCCGGGGCCCGCGTACTCCGGGCGGAATAACCGCGTGCCCCCACGGAAGGCCTCGGGTACCCTTCCGCCCGCGGCGCGCCGACCCGCGCGGGGACCCGGCAGCGGCCGACGCGCTAGCGACAGCAGGCGGGGCTCGGTTTCCAGGGCGACGGGAGCGGAATCGCGGGGCTCGCGCGCGTACGTCACTTCCGGCCACTTGTCACAGGCCCTCCCGCTCGCGGGGGCTTCCGAGCGGGAGCCGCTCTCCTCGGGGAGCGGGGCTGTCGCATGGGGCCGGGAGCAGCCGACCGGACTGTGTCCTGCGGGAGGAGCTGTGGCGGCGCGGGCGGGCCTGGCTCCCGTCGCCCACCGGAGGCTGTCAAAGGCGTCCCCCGGGACCGCGGCTGTAGGAAGCCCTGCCGCGGCCGGATCCGGAGCATGCGCACTCCCGGCGGCGCGGGCTCGGGGAATCCACTGCTCCGGGATTTCCGCGCAGCCGGTGGGAGAGCGGAGGGGCGCGCTGGGGGCGTGGCGGAGGGGGGCGCGGTGAGCGAACGGAGGCGTTGATTGGTCCGTTGGGAGCCCCGCGGGGAGCCGCTGTTCGCGGCGGCGGGCTCTGCGGCTCATTCACTCGCTCATTCACAGAACCGGTCGATCCGTTCGGCCTTCCCGGGGGCGCGCGAGTCCGCGCGGGGGCGGGGCCCGGGGGCCCAGGACCCGGCTGGCCCCTAGCGCTGTCTCCCCGCTTCCGGCGCCACCTCGCGCCTCTCCCCTGCACTCGTACTCTGGGAGGCGACGGCCGCCCCGCCCCCCGCAGGGACCTCGCCCGAGAGCTCCTGCCCCGGGGGCCGCGGTTGCGCTCGGCAGGGCCCGAGCCGGGAGCCTCGTCGGTCGCGGACGCTCCCGGGTCCTCGCGGGGGCTGTGAGGCCTGGAAGGAGCTTCGGGGCTTCCCCGGTGTGGGGCCCCGGCTTTGCCCCGCGTTGGCTCCCGCGACTTCGGCCTTCCGGGGCGCCGCCGGGGCCCAGCGCGGGCCGAGGCGGTTCTCCGCTGAGTCGAGGCTGAGCGACTCTGAGGGGAAGGAGTTCGTCGACCCAGACCAGAGTTTCGGCTCCCGCTGCGGACCCCGTGCAGCCGGCCCGCCGGGGTGGGACAGGCTCGTGCGCGCCCGTCGTTCCACACTCGGCAGGGGGATGTCACTGCTCCGTCCCCTCGAATAGGACGACCGATGCGATAAGGCCCTTACGAGACTAAATGAGACCTTTGTGACAAGCGCGGTGCACGTTACCTGCCAGGTGAGTGGACGCTACCGCGACTGTGTTGTTTTGAGGGACTGGACTTGAGAGACCCGCTCAGGTGGTTGGTTTTTCGCGCCGCTAAACACACGCAGGTAAGTGAGTGAGTCCCTCCCTCGGCTTGGGCGCGCGAAAACCTGCGGACACAGGGCGCGAGTGTTGGAGCGGACTGCGGGGCAGGAGAGAGCCCCCCGCGCGGGAAGGAGTCGGAGACCCTCCGTAATACCGTTGGGGGCTCATGATGGGCTTTGCCCAAAGTGCCCCAAATGTCACCCAACCAGAACAATTTTAGTCAAGACAACAGGCATGATCTGGGACTGTTCCAGGTCAATCAAGATCTAGGGTCACCCTATCCCAAAGCTGTATGAGTAGCACGTGACGTCATTAAAGTGGAACTTCAGTCTGTCTCACTGTGTCTCAAAATGTTTTCTCCCGCTTGATTGTGTTGAGTCCTGGTGACAGCCTCATGAAGTGATGATCCCCATTCTACAGATGAAGACACTGAGGTTGTGTCGTTGGTGAGGGACGGGGTGGGTGCTTTGACTGCACTTTGTGACTCATGTTTCAGTGACAGATCTCAACTCCACAAAGTCTCCGGGGCATTGGTTCTCATCTTTGGGACTCCATGAGTTGATGATTCAGGGAAGCCTCAGATTCTGCCTCGTTTTACTGGCGAACTTTCTTTTTAAAGGATTTATTTCTTTGCAATCTCTACACCCAATGTGGGGCCAGAACTCATGATGCCAAGATCAAGAGTCACATGCTCCACGGACTGGGCCCGCCAAGTGCCCCAACTGGAGAACTTTCTATTAGAGCTCTGTATCACCAAACTTTCCACCCCCTTTAGGACTCTTGTAGAGGATCTGGTGTGGGTGGGAGGTGGGACCTGATTATTTTAGAGGTTCCTTCCAATCCAACTTGAAGTGTCTACAAACTCCTTGAGAGCAGGTTTTGCTATATTCTTTGAATTCTGCACATTCAGGTGAGATGCGCAGGAAATGTTAAAGCTATGAAAGGTGTAACTCCAGGAGCCAGACAGCCCAGGGTGCCCCCTTAGGTCAGTTTAATGTGAGCCCCTACCTTCTCTGAGCCTCAGTCTTCAAACTGATAAAAATGCAGGATAGTCTCTCTCTCTCACACAGATTTGCTGGAACCATAATTTGCTGTCAGTGAGCACATTGTAAACAGAAACATTGTACTAAAATAGCAATGTTTCCTTTTGCCAGCTTTCAATATTGCTTTCTAAATTGCTTGCTTTATCCATTTACAAAGAGACTAGGGACAGAGAAGGACTATGGAAAGAGCACAGGCCATGGCATCAGACAACCCTGGATCTGAATCCCTAAATGACAAAAGCCAATTGTGCAACCCCAGCCAAGTGGTGTGTCCTTTCCCGACTGCAGCGCTAAGAATAGTACCTTGCATGGAACTTAGGAAGACAGAGGGAGCTACATAGTGGAGCTCTGTTCCCCGCACACAGACCTCCATCAAGGGTGGCTCTTGTAATGTCTGTTTTCTCTGTCAATCTGCATTCTTAATGGCACAGAGCAGCCCCCATGGGCATCCTTTTGTGGTGTGTTGGAGGCACTCTCTCTCAGCGTCTGGGGACCTCTGTTGAAAACACTTCCCGGCTCTCTGGCATGCTAGAAATCGGCTTCCCTTGCTTTGCCCTGAAGATGTGTTCTGCTTGTAACTCATTCCTACTCTTTGGAAAACAGTTCAGTAAAAAACTGGTTTTCCAGTGACTCTGGGCAGGGATGAGGGATAGCATATTATTTTGTTAAAAAATATGAATGAATATTTTTGTTAAAAATATGAATATTTTGCTAAAAAATATGAATAATAAAGTAAGTCATAAAACAGCACTGGCCCTTAGCAAAGAGTCAATAAATGCTTGCCGGCTGACAGCAAAGATGATGGCCCGTTTCTTTCGTGTCTGCTGTATTTGGTGAGGGGACGATTCTTGTCTTCCAGGACATTAATTTTTTTTTTTTTTTTTTTAGAGTAGGTTCCATGATCAACGGTGTGCCTTGAACTCGGGACCCCCAATCAGGCGCCCCTGAAAACATTTTTTATTTGAAACAACAACAACAAAACAACAAAGCTACACAAGGAAAGCGCCTTCCCCCGCCATCCCCTTCCCTCAGCCCTTTCTGGAGGTGACGCTATTGACAATGTCCTTTCCAAATCTTCTCCAATGTGCTGTGACGCTCTGAGGTCCGCACGTGAATTCCGCTTTACGCACTCATTTTTAACACAGAAGTTGAAATCCCAAAGTGGCTTCTGGTCTCGGGAATAGCGGCTCCCACCCGCTCTGTGCTGGGCCGCTGCGCTCCGCGCCGGGAGCGGCTCCAGCCGGGAGACCTGGGGACCCGGCTGCGGCGCCCCCTTCCCGCCCCAGCGCCCAGGGCTGCGCGGATAGCGCGCGCAGGAGGCTCGCCCGGTGTGCAGAAGGGGCCCTCGTCCAGCTACGGTAGTTCTCCACGCTAGTGCCCGCGGGGGCTTGGTCTCCCGGGCGCAGGGGCCCGCCGGGCGTGGGGGCAGTCGCTCCGCAGGGGTCTCGCCGGCCGCCCCCAGCGCCCCCGCCCGCAGAGTTGCGGAAATCCGAGCTGCGCGCCTGGAGGGTTAGAAAGCGGCGGGGAGACCGGGCCCCTCCCTCAGCGCGCGCCCCTCTCTCCTTGCGCGCGGCTCCTCCCTCCCCTCCCAGCCCTCCTCTCCGCTCCCCTCCCCTGGCGTCCCGCTCCCCGCGTCCCTCCCAAAACCCGGAGCGGATTGCCGGCCCGGACCGCCCCGAGCATGCGCAGGAGGGTGCCGGCGCGGCCGCGGGTCGGAAGCGCCGGCTCGGAGTAGGGGGAGCGGTCGCAGAGGCTGCTCCGCCCCGCCGCCCGCCAGGCCGTTGGCTCCCGCTCCGGGCCCGGGCCGCCGGCTGCGTAAGTGCGAGGTGGGGGGACTGCGGGCCGGGGGTCGCCGGCGGCGGGAGGGCTGCCTGTGTGTGGCGGCGAGCGAGGGCGCGAGTCAGCGCGCACCTGCCAGGGCCGGGTCCCTTTCACTCCCACCCCGGCCCGGGAGCCTGCCCGGCGCCCGCTGCTCACCCGTGCGGGGCCGTGCCGGCACCTGCCGTCCTGGGGCCCCGGCCTTGCTCCCCGCGGCGCGCGGCGGCGGCCCCTCCCCATTCCGCTGCCGCGTCCCGACCCCTGGGCCGCATGGGGTCGAGGGGCCCCCGGCGCGCGCTGGTCTCCCCGCAGGGCGGCCCGGCCGGCCCGGGGCTACCGTCCTGTCCCGGTCATCCTCGCTCTCCTCCGGGTCGAGAGTGCCTGAGATCCAGCTCGGCGGCCCCAGGCGCCGGGTGCGGGGATGGGAGCCTCCGTGGTCAGCCCCGTCTGAGCCGCGGGCGCCGGGGGAACGGAGAGAGCCCGCGCTGCGCTTGTGGCCGCCTCCCCTCGCGGTCCGCGCGCGCTGCCCGGGCCGCCGCACATGCCTTCTGACCTATACCCTCTGCTCGTTGGATCCCGGGCTTTTACAGCGACAGGGACTAAAATGTGGACCGCAGGGCTGGCCTTCGTTCCCAGTGAGACCAGGGCGGGGTGGGACAGGCTCCGTGCATCGGCGCCCCTCCCCCGACTCTAAACTAGTGACTGTCAGTGTTTGAGAAACAGTGACCGCTACTTCCTCGTCCAGCCCAGCTAGTACTTGTTAAGGTGAAAGGACCGCACTCCGGCCCGAGGTGGGAGATCCAGGAGTCTCGCCATACTCGAGATCCGGCAAGCCTGTGTGCGTGTTTTTCTTAAACCGTGTGGCAGAATAGTAGTGGAGAGGGACCAACGGTTGTCAAGAAATGTTTTTTAAAAATAACTGCTTTATTGAGATAGCATTCACAACCACAGAAAACACCCATTTAGAATGTAGGGTGCCGTGGCTTCAGTACACCCACCGTCGGGGCCATCCCCGTGCCAGCACGGTTTACCACTCCAAAAGAAACTCCACACCGGTTGGCAGTCCCGTCTTACTCTGTCCTGTAGCCCCCACAGCCGCTCATTTACTTTCTGCCTCCAGGGGTGTACGTGCTGTGGGCATTTCATGTAAACGGAACCTCACTCTGTGCGGCCTCTGGTGACTCCCTCCTTTCCCTGAGCATCGTGTTTGCAAGTTTCCTCCAGGCAGCGGTAGGATCAGTACTTTGTTCCCTGTTAGGGCTGAGCCATGTTCTCCGGTTGCATGGACCACATTTTGTGGTTCATTAGTGGACGGGCGATGGTGTTACCGTTCGTGGGAATGGAAAGAGCTATGGATATCTATGAATATCTGCAGACACATTTTGCGTGGACATGTGTTTTCAAACCTCTTCGGTGGGTAACTAGGAGTAGAATTGCTATTTTTATGGTACCCCTGCATTTAACTTTTGAGGGAGCTGCCATGTTGAAGAAACATGTTTTTGATTTTTTAAACCATTTTATTTTTTTATTTGAGAGGGGAGAGAGAGAGATAGAGAGAGAGATGGGGGGACGAAGGGAGGGCAGAGGGAGTGGGAGAACAGGCTCTTAGCTGAGCAGGGAGCCTAAAGAGGGCTCAGTCCCAGGACCCCGAGATCATGACCTGAGCCACAGGCAGACCAGACCCTTAACCACCTGAGCCACCCAGGCACCCCTGTTTTTTGATGTTCTAATATTTGTGTTAGATTAGTCTCAGACACTAGAACTGGCTCAGTGCCAGGTCTTGTTTCGTCAGCTTCTCCCTAGAAGAAGCCAGTGGGAAAGCGTGGATGCTGGCTCCTGGCCCCAGTCTGTCACCTGCCGATTAGGACATCTCGAGCAGAATGACTGAGCCTTATCTCATCTGTACGATTGAAGACAGTGATACTCTTTTCTTGGGACAGATGGGAATTCTAAACAGGACACACGATAGAGAGCCCAGTCAGTGTCCTCTCTCTACCTTACATGAGACAGATTTCCTCTGGTGTGAGATGAGTATTTTGAATTTGGGGTAAAAGTAGACAAGGAGTTTGTGATACCGAGCTGCTTCCGGGAAAATTCTCGTTTGAGGTTGTGAGGTTTATTGACTCGTGGCACACATTGGGTTGCTGGTGTCTTTTTAGCGCCCAGTCAGAACTGGAAGGGACCCTGAGGGCTCATTTAGTTCAGGGTGAGTTCATTTGGATCTCATAGATTAGCAAATTCCAGAAAACTAGAGGGTCAGTAATGGGGCTGTCAGTTTTCGCCCAGATGGAACAATGGGAAGATAACACCGTCTACTCTCACTAACAGTTCATAAAAGCAAGAATATTTTAATGCCAAAAAATAATGGAAGTTCATTACCTAACCATAAATTACAATACGAGTTAATATTTATAAAGCACTTTTCAGGGGCGCCTGGGTGGCTCAGTTGTTAGCGTCTGCCTTCGTCTTAGGTCATGATCCCAGAGTCCTGGGATGGAGCCCCGCCTTGGGCTCCCTGCTCTGTGGGAAGACTCCTTCTCCCTGTCGCACTCCCCCTGCTTGTGTTCTCTCTCCTGCTATCTCTCTCTCTGCCAGATAAATAAATAAAATCTTAAAAACAAAGCACTTACCAAATTTACCTGAGTTTAGTTTCATGAGAATTTCATGCACTGTTCTACTTTGTCTCATTTTCTTCGGACTAGAGAAATTGAGCACCTGTCGTGAGACCTGGGCCCAGGACCCGTGTGCCGTATCTTCAGGGGGATCTGCAGCTTTAATGCACTTGCCTCTCTGTGCCTCCTGTTCTCTGGCTCACAGAGGAAGGTATTTGCAGGACCAGCAGCGTAACCCGTGTGTGGAAGACGGGGCGGAGTGTGGGCTCTGAGACTGGTTGACCTGCTGACAACTAGACTGTGAGCTCCTTGAAGTTGGACCCTCCCCCTTTTTTAACTCTTGAAAAACATTTTTTTAAAAAAATTTTTTAAAGATTTTTATTTATTTATTTGACAGACAGAGATCACAAGTAGGCAGAGAAGCAGGCAGAGAGAGAGAGGAGGAGGCAGGCTCCCTGCTGAGCAGAGAGCCCGATGCGGGGCTCGATTCCAGGACCCTGGGATCATGACCTGAGCCGAAGGCAGAGGCTTAACCCTGGGATCATGACCTGAGCCGAAGGCAGAGGCTTAACGACCGAGCCACCCAGGCGCCCCTCTAGTTCTGGCTTCTAGGATCCTTTGTTTATGCTCCTGCCATCCATATGCCAGAGTTGCTCTGGGAGGGAAATTCCTGGGCGCAGGACATACCAGTCTGTATGCCCGCTGTCCTATAGGACAGTTACTTTGATCTGTATCTTCATAAACAGTTGGTGGTTCTCATACTTAAAATGTTTTGTCTGTGTAGTAGCATCGTTCACAGTGGCCCAAAGCTAGGATCAACCCCAGTGAGCTGTGATGAATGAATGGGTAAACAGTATATGTATACAGTGGGCTGTAAGCATTGAAGAAGGAGGAAATGCTGATTTTCTCCCCCAACATGGATGAACCTTGAAGACCTCCTGTGTAGTGAAATAAGCTAGTCTCGCAAGGACACAGAACGTGTGATTCCACTTACATGAGGGACGTGGAGTGGTTCAGTTTGTAGAGACAGGAAGTCAGAATGGTGGCTGCTGAGGGCAGGGGGAGAGTGGGCGTGGGCAATTTACCAAGTACAGAGGACTGGGTGGCGGGGGTGGGGAACTTCTGGAGATGCTTGCCAGCGGTGGGAGTGTCCTTAATGCCCTAGAGCCGTGCACCTAAAAATGGTAGATCTCATGTATATTTTACCACAATACAATTTTTATTTTGTCAATTTATTTTGGGTGTGAAATGGCCTGTCACTATGGCTTTAATTAGCTTTTTCCTGGTTGCCATTGAGGTGGGGCACCCTTCCGTACCTGTCCTTGCCCTTTGAGGTTTGTCTTCAAAGATCCTCTTTAAGCGTCTTGCCTGTATCCTGACTGGGCCTCACCGATGTGTCTTCTGCTTACGTGGGGATGGCCCATTGTCTCGTGTCACATACCAGAGAGTCTGTGCTTTGCTTCCGCCCTACAGCAGTACTGCTGTTATTTCAAGTTGCCGTGGACGCGTGGGTCTGGTTCTGGGTGGGATTACGTTCCAGTTTTCTTTTTATCCCTGGGCCAGCCCTGCGCTGACTGCAGCTTTTTATTTGGTCTTTTTTCCCCACAAAAAGGTACTGAGATATTATTCATCTATCACCCAGTTGACCCATTTAAATCTACAGTGTAGCGGTTTTTGGTGGATTCACAGAGCTGTGCAGCCATCACCAGTTTTGAAACGTTTCATTGCCCCCCAAAGAATCCCTGTATCCTGTCAGTAGTCGCAGGTGTATCTGATCTTGCTCTTGGGGGGGAGGTAGGGGAGCAGGTGGGGGCATAAATGCTCTCCCCTTTGGTGGGTCTTCCAGAGTTTCTTGGCTATTCTGGACCATAAACTCATTTGTTATACTCCACCAAAAACCAGGTAGGAGGTCTAACCAGAATAGCATCTAGTCTGTATATCCAGCTGGGGAGAATTGATATCTGTCTCCCCTTTCTCCTCATGAGTGTACCTGGAACGCTGTCTCTTCGTCTGTACAGAGCCTGGGATGTGGGAAGTCCTTGCTCAATGCTGGGGGCGTGGATGCCGAGACTTCAACCTTGTTCACTTCAACCAGAGCCTTTCACAGAAGGGAAAACCTCGGTGACTCTGTGTGACTCACGGTCACGCATAATGACAGCCAGGGAGAGAAGCAGCTCAAGGGACGCGGTGGCTGTGGTCAGTTCTCTGCCACCTGTTGCTAAGGAGAGAACAGCCTCCTTTTCCCTAATAACGTGTGCTGCTCGGCTCCTTTAAATGTCATTAATTCGGTCTTATCTGGAGACGGCTGTCCTTCGGGGGGCCTCGGTGTGATGTGAGCACGTGTAAACAAAGGTGTGTGTGTGGCAGCGCTCGTGGCTCCTGTCCCGCCCGGCCCAGAGTGCCCGCTGAGCACATGCTGGAACCGGGAAAGTCATAGCACAGGTGGGAATTTCCATTATGACTCGAAATTCCCAACTTTAGTAACCCGTGGCACCTGGATAGAGCCCACCGTCATTTCGGTGGTCCAGATCAGCGGGTTTGATCCGACAAACTGAATGACTTGATGAAGCCTCATCGCACGGTATGTGGAGGGAGGGCCGGCCCGCCTGTCCTCTGTCTCGGGAGAGGGGCCGGTCTGCCTGTCCTCTGTCTCGGGGGGGCCGGCCCGCCTGTCCTCTGTCTTTTCTTCCTGCACTTGTTCTTCTGTACCCCGCGGAGGCTTCATCCATCAGCAGGGCCCTGGGCTTGCTGGTGCTGCCGCGAGCCGGTCCTTGGCCGGGTGACCTTCCCTCAGCCGCACCGGGGCCCCCTCTCCATCTCTGCAGCGAAGGCCTGGACCGGATACGTGTTTTATGGTCACTTCTTTGCTGTGCCTTCTTTTGAGAAACACAGAACCTTAAATCTCCGCCTTCAGCGCCAACTCCTGGGCGTTTGGGAAGTCTCCCAGGGGCTGCTGTGCCTCTCTGGGGAGCCCCCATGTGGGTTTGGTTCTTTTCGGGGGGTGCAGAAGACACTGGTCAGAGGACGAACTTCCTCTGACCTGGCCTCTCTGGTCTTGACCAGTGATAAGCCTCTCTCTTCCCCAGGTTCCTTATCAATAGAGCGGAGGCGGTGTCACAGAACGGTGTAGATGAGATAACATGCATATGAGCCATTTCCGTCCCGGGTAGACTGAAGGTCAAATCCAGATCTCCTGATCCCACTGTGGTTCTTTGCTTTCTGTCCTGTTGAGGGGATGAGGCAGCGGTGCCTTCGTTCAGGGAGCACTTTCGGGCCCTGACTCTCTGTTGGCATCCAGCTGGGTGTTGGAGATAGAAAAAGAGGCCTCCCCTATGCCGCAGGAGCTCAAGGCCTCGTCCAGGCGCTGTGGTGTTTGGGGAAGATCTGTGGTAGCCAGATGCAGAGCCCCAGGGACAGAGGGCAGCCCATGGCTCCGCGCCCCCCGCCCCCCACCCCCACCTCGCAGGTGGTTCACGGGAGAACCACCACATCCCAGGTTGGGCCAGCAGCCTTCACAGCCGCGCGCCCCTAAGTGCCCTCATTCTCTCCGGCAGAGTCTTCAGGATGAGTGTCCCTGACTACATGCAGTGCGCCGAGGACCACCAGACTCTCCTCGTGGTGGTGCAGCCTGTGGGCATCGTCTCCGAAGAGAACTTCTTCAAGATCTACAAGAGGATCTCCTCCGTGAGCCAGGTCAGCGTGCGGGACTCCCAGCGGGTGCTCTGTATCCGCTACAGGCACCACTACCCGCCCGAGAACAACGAGTGGGGCGACTTCCAGACCCACCGCAAGGTCGTGGGCCTCATCACCATCACGGACTGCTTCTCCGCCAAGGACTGGCCGCAGACTTTTGAGAAGTTCCACGTGCAGAAGGAGATCTACGGCTCCACGCTCTACGACTCCCGGCTCTTCGTCTTTGGGCTGCGGGGAGAGATCGCTGAGCAGCCGCGCACCGACGTGACCTTCTACCCCAACTACGAGGACTGCCAGACGGTGGAGAAGAGGATCGAGGACTTCATTGAATCCCTCTTCATTGTGCTCGAGTCCAAGCGTCTGGATAGGGCCACCGACAAGTCTGGGGATAAGATCCCCCTTCTCTGTGTCCCGTTTGAGAAGAAGGACTTCGTAGGACTGGACACAGACAGTAGGTAAGTTCACCTGGAGGCCCAGAGGCCTCGTGCTTGGCTTGGTTCCTGACGCCACGAAAGGAGAAGCAAGGGGTAGTATTTGATGTCTCAAGGGGTAGGCAGGCATGGGCCATGGTTTTCAGACTTCTAGAAATGGGACAGCCTTTGGTTAAGGGGAATCCTTTTAGGGTTAGTGTGTGTCCTTACTCCCCTGTTTCAGCCGGCCCTCCCCGTGGGACCCTCAGAGCTGCTGTCCACGACGGTGGCCACCTGTGGCTCTTGTGGACCAGAGGGTTGGCTAGTCTGAGCTGAGATGTGCTGTAAGTAAAGTGCACATCAGGTATTGAGGCTTAGTATGGAGAAAAGAAAATATTTTGTTAATCTTTTTACATATCAAAGTGATCATATTTTACATACATTAGGTTAAAGAACATTTTAAAATTGGTTCCAGTTGTTCCTTTGTACACTGTGGCAGCCAGAAGCTTTATGTACGTGGCTCCCATGTCGTTCTGGCTGGACCGCGCTGCCCTCGTGCGCAGCTGGAAACTTCTCTTCCATCTCATCCCTTTGATTCATAGTGAGATGCTGGGCCTGGAGAGGCGGCCGAACTAGGAGCTGGCCCAGCTGAGCTAGTGGAGCTCCTGCCTCTGGGGCTGGGAACTGGGCACGGGTCAGGCCCTTCTTCCCAGCTGATAGCTCCAGGGTCCCAGTCCTCGCTGACAGCCAGCCAAGGCGAGTGCCACGGTGTCGGGCACGCTGCCAGGGACTTCCCAAAGAGCTCCTCCTGCCCACAGCCATGTGTCTCTCTTCTCTGTGTAACAGGGGCATCAAACAGAGCAGGGAAAGGCCAGGCCTCACATTTCTCCTGAGATGAAGTCAGCGGCTGAGCTTTGCACTGAAACTGCAGCGTACCCTCCTGTGCCCTTTGCTTCCCCTGTCTGTCCCCGGCGCTGCCTCCCTGTGCCGTGGCCACTGTGGTGTCCGTGCACAGAGGAGGACGACGCGTAGGTTCCATGCTTCCCTGGAGGAGGTCCCCTTCGGCTGGAAGAGTGTGGGGCTTCATGACTGTGGGCACCAAGTCCCTCCTTCCCCTCCTGTAGAATGTGGATGTGGGTCTTGTGGGCGAGTACTGAGTGACCTTGTGTCCCGCGGGCACAGTGGCCCAGCAGAGTAGGTGCTTAGCATGTTTCTGGAGTTTACCTGAGATCAAACACTGACTTGCCATCTGTTGGTAAGTTGGAGGAGAAAATGTCACAGAACTGAGAAAAACAGGCCCGGGCCAGCCCTGTGAGGGGAAAGCACAGAGTGGCCTAAGATTCCCCGCGCTAGGGTCCTTTGCAGGGTCTGTGCTGGTTTTCTTTCCTCACCAGACGTGCGTGTGTGTGGCTAAGGGAAAGGCCCGTTGCACCCACGATCTGTACTCAGTCCTCGCAGTGGCCCTGAAGTCAGGACACCAGTGGTCCCCTTTCCCACCTTGGAGCTGGGGTGGTGAGGCCGGGGAGCCCGGGCAGCCGTGAGGGGTAGTCACGAGGGGCAGCCAGGCCTTCTCCAAAGCCACCTGGTGACCTCCCCTCACCACACGGGGCCAACCCGCACTTAGCCCCTGCACTCCCGCGCCCCCGCAGCCTGTGGCGTGGGCTGGGACTGGCTGGTCCCCGCATTATAGACCAGCCGCTGAAGCCTCGGAGGCGGCCAGGGATCCCGCTCTGACCCTCTGCTACATGAGGAACTGGGGACATTCTTTGGTCACGACTTCTTGGCTTTGAGGTTGCAGACCCACCAGAGAATGCTGGCCTGTTTTTGCCATTTGAAATCGATGCTCACGACTTGGCTGGAGTAACAAGCCTGGGGACTGTGTGCCTGGCATGGCTGTAGGCACGGGAAGTCTTGCAGTAGATGGGATGGCCCTCCCGGGGGGGACCGATATGTTCTCGGCGAGCGTAGACACTCAGCCAGCTTTGGAACTTGTGTGACATAGTGACGCCGGTGACCTCAGATCAAATGCGCTGTCCCGTCATCTCTGCCGGTCCATTGTTGCTTTCACTCGTCTGCGGCGCTCTCATTTTTAAAACACTGACTTGGTGCGGAGACAGAGCCCAGCTCTGTCCTGCCGCTCTTGGTAGGAGCGTCCAGCTTAAAACGAGACTGAAGTTCGTAGCTCACAGGAAACGCCTAGGTGAAGGCCGAGGTTTGGGTGGCGCACTGATCACGTCCGCAGGCCTTGTGGCAGTTGTGGCCACTCTGGGCCCCGCAGTCCCCCGTAACACGAGGTGCGGACGTATTTCACGGGAATGTTCTCGGGTGCCCCAGGCCTCGAAAGCCCACGGGGGATTCTTGGACGTGCAGTGTTGTAGCTGTCAAAGTTATTTTGTTCTTGTGTGTTTCTAATTTTTGCTTGTTCCTCTTTTCTTTCTTTTTCCTTTTTTTTTCTACCGTACCGCCCTGTGAGTATGTTGTTGGGTCTGAAAAGGTAGGCTGTGAACACGCTGCATTGGAAGTAGCTAGATCTCCCCGTGTGCTGCCCTCTCGCTGCCTTCACCGCTTGAAAAGCCAGACTGACTGCCGCCTGCATCCTGTGTCTCCCTGGCCGTCTTTCCGTTTTCTGATTTAAAAACTATTTTGCTTTTTAAAGCACGTGACCCACTGATGTTTGATACCTGTTCAGAGATTTGCTTTGGGGAACTTTTTGGGTCTGACTTAGTATTTGGTGGCAAACGAGCCCTTATTAATCTTTTCTGTTTGGAGGATGTGGGATGCTTGTTGATTTCGGCGGCTGCACAGGGACTTTTCACGGGGTTTTTAACCTGCAAAGTCCGAGACTGCAGCGCCTTGCTTGACCCTGGCTTGGGAATGAACGTAGCAGGGACGTGTTTTTTGGCTGTTGCTGCGTGACGTGCATGACAGAGCTTGTAGGCCAGCGGCCGCCGGCGTGGGGTACCCGGCTCGGGAGCGTGCTGGCCGCAGACGGGCACCGTCGGAGGATGCGGTCCCCGGAGGCTTTCGCTTTCACCTGGAGCATGCTGTTTTCTTGACCTCACCTGAGCGCCCGTCCTCCGTTAAAGGGCAGAGGCTCTTCCACCATCTGTCTTTGCCTCCTTAATGAGGGCAACTTTTCTAGGTATTAGGAAAATGTGCCTTCTAAAGAGCTAATTCCTCTGGAGCTTGTGGACATGGGGACCTCTGTGGTTGACCATGGCCTTCTTTCTGCTCTAGCCAGGAAGCGCGCAGAGCCGTGTACATGGCTTGCCTTTGCAGTCCTATGGCCTGTACCTGACCCAGCCTTTCCTTTCGACCCCGTGTGGGTGAGAGCGCTGTTTCTCTCTTTGTTGGGCTCACGTCCTGTCACCGACAGGCACATCACCAGTTTGCAGCCGTGAAACGCCAACATTTAACCAAGGTCGGCTGCCCTAGCTCCTTGTCCTTTCCCCCGGCCCAGCTCACCCATGGGGAGAGGTCTGGCCCCACCCCCATGCGGGCCTGGAGGCCTTGTTTCTTCTTTTCTGCTGCCGTCCTCCTGCGAACACTTTCTTCCTTTACTTACTTTGTCTCAAGGGAGACGGTCTGGACCTTCTGAGAAGGTCCCTCACGGGCTCGGGTGGGGAAGACGAAGCCAAAGCAAGTTCAGGGAGCGGAAGACGCGGGAACCTCCTGCCTGCGGAAATAGGCCGGGGTCGCCGTGGGCCTGGCCTGTGACAATAGCTTTGCCGGGGCTGCTCCCTTCTCACCGGCTGGCCTCGGGCAGCATGTGTCTTAACTGGGAGCTCCTCTAGGCCTCAGACCCTTCCAAGTTCGAACGACAGGAGAACCGTGAGCCCCTTTTCCTGGGCCGCCCTCTTAGCCTCTCCCGGGAAACTCACTTGCCTTCCCCGGGGTCTGGTGCCAGGGGAGACGTCCCGCTCTTTGGTGGGCCCTGACAGCACCCGCGTGCCGGGAGCCTTCAGTGCCCTGCGCGAGTCCTGGGGGACAAAGTGGAGACGAGGCTTGTCCCTGACTGGTGTGGGGGCAGCGGTGAGGGGGAGAGGAAATCAAGTAAGAAATTCAGGGTTTTGACTTGAAGAGCCAGGGATGTGGCGGGGCTGTCTGGGAGGGAAGACGGGGAGGCCCCTGCTAGGAGTCGGATTCAAGAGGGAAATATTGGACGTGTGTTGTACATGCCTATTTGACGTTCAGGCGACGGTTTCCAAGAGGCGAACAGATTTGTGAGTCTGGAGCGCAGGGAGGGAGCGGACTGGGGAGACGCGCTGGAGTCGTCACTATGTGGCTTGTAGTTAGAACCAAGTGTGGGCGAGCTCCCCCAGCCCGGTGTAGACTGGAGCGTGGGCCAGCTCCTCTAGTCGGGTGTAGACTGGAGCTGGAGGAGGGTAGCGGCGGGGGCTGGGACCGGTGGGTTGCAGGACTTGGGAGGAAGCAGTTCTTTTCGGATCCTCCCATGTGTGAGGCACTACCGGGGTGTCCCATGGCCTCCACCATTAGGGGGATTAACACCAGGTTAAGGGCGGAAGGGGCGGGGGAGGGGTAAGGTCCCAACGAGCCTCCCTGCCTGCGTCTGTCACCCCGCACAGCGACACAGGGCCAGTGTTTGTCCACCTGGCCCTGGCCAGGAGCTGGAGGTCAGCAGTTGTTACCGGAGGAGGGAAGTGTGCGTGTGGATGCTGGGGTCCTCTCCCCATTGGAATGGAGAGCACCCCGGGGGAAGGGAGCCAGGCACTGTCAGCCTTGGGGGAGGCCCGGAAGTGCAGCTGGGGGAGCTGGTTTTGGGCTCCCGTCTCCCAGGCGCACAGGCGCACGTTCCCCCGAGCTTCTGTTCAGGTGACGTGGTTCTCTCCTGTGACTCTACAGTCAGGGCAAGACAGAGCCCCTGCTCGGTACCTTGTGTGGCCGCCAGAGTTAGATGTGGTCATGGTGGTGAACTGGAGCCTGTGACAGGTCCGTGAGGATCCTTGGATTCGGGCTGTGTTTTGCTTTTTGTTCCTCCTTCCCTCTTCTCATCTCTTTCTCCTCTTCCCAAATGCTCTCAGAGAGGCCGTGGTCTTTTTTTTTTTTTTTAAGATTTTATTTATTTATTTGACAGAGAGAGAGAGATCACAAGCAGGCAGAGAGGCAGGCAGAGAGAAAGGTGGGGGCAGGCCCCCTGCTGAGCCTCGATGCGGGACTCGATCCCAGGACCCTGAGATCATGACCTGAGCCGAAGGCAGAGGCTTAACCCACTGAGCCACCCAGACGCCCCAGGGAGTGCTTTCTTGAGAAACTGATGGTGGAAATGAACCCTAAGGAGAGTGTGAAGGTTTAGGCAGGAGGTCACTGGGGACCCTGGTAAGCAGGAAGGTGAAGCTGTAGAGTGCAGGGCAGTGAGAGGAGGGGAGGCAGGGGCAGCGGGAGGAGAGCTAGAACTGTGCTGGGTGTTTGAGGCTGGGGAGTGACCTATTCAGATTTACCGCCTGGGAACAGCCCCCCGCCCCCGTGTGTGTGTGTGTGTGTGTGCGTGCGCGCACATGTATGTAGCAGGGACATGGCAGAGGGACCCTACAGAGTGGAGGTATCCAGTGGGGGAAGGCAGGGCAGTACAGGGGCGGTGTTTCTTACAGGCGGGGAGGGCTTGCTGGTGGGGGGCCATCCTCACAGTGCCGCAGGGCAGGGCAGGAGACTGTCCTTTCCTCTTCTGTCTCTCCCCTGCCCTACGGGACAGTCTTAGTTCAGCCAGTACTGGGAACGGGGTGCCGAGTCCCAGAGCCAGAGCATGGGGAGAGCTCGTCACTTAGGTCTGGAGACTTAACTTCGTGTCGAGGCTGTCAGTAACATTCACTTAGCTGGAAACTTCTCGTGTCGTGGATTTCCACGGGGGTTTTATTCTTGATGTGATTGCTTCCTCAGAGTGAAAATTTAATACAGCTGCTATTTTTCTTGAAAAAAGGCTTATCTTTTAAGAAATTTAGTGTTTAAAAGAATAGGAATATTTCAGAACGGTAAAGGAAAGTTTGGTATAGTTTCTTTGGTTTCTGAGTAGATAGAAGCCTTTGCATTCTCTAAGGCCGTTTCCTTGCCTGTATTCAAGGAGCTGTTGGTGATGCCCAGTCCCACCCTCTCAAGGCATTCCTGGGGCCTGCTCTCACGGAGTGGAGGTAGAGGTCTTGTCTGCCCACACCAAGTGGCTGGCCTTTGATATACCCCATAGCTCTCTTCATAAAATAATAATGGGTTTGAAGTTAAGAAAGTGGAAGATAATTGATTTTTTTTTAAAGAGCTGAAACATCAACTTTCTTGTGCTGATGTCATGGAAAATTTGCGGAGGAAAATCCTACATCTGGTGTTGCTAAGTGAAATGCACAGCAGAAGTCCCACGTTCCTGTCCCCTCTAGAAAATAACTGGACAGGTGTTTGTGAGGTCAGGACCCTTCCAGCTCCCACACTGGCCGTGACGGCCGCTGCCTTTCAATCATGGAGCCTCAGGTTGCCTTCTTAGCCTTTTTGGGTCGAGGGAGAGTCGAATAGTGCTTTGCTGGTGTGCTTTGGGGGCAGAAGTGGTGAACCAGCGGTGACGCGTGTCTGTGCATTGTGTTTCGTAGACACTACAAGAAGCGGTGCCAAGGGCGCATGCGCAAGCATGTGGGGGATTTGTGCCTCCAGGCTGGGATGCTGCAGGACTCCTTGGTGCACTACCACATGTCCGTGGAGCTCCTCCGCTCCGTGAATGACTTCCTGTGGCTTGGAGGTAAGATCATCTCGCGCAGACAGCACATATGCCATTAGAGCAACTGTTACTTGAAATAAGAGAAAACATAGAAAAGTGGTTCTAAAAATGAAGGGTGCGGGAGGAGAAGCAGTCGGCTGTCTGGTTGCTGCGGGGGATCGTCTGGGGTAACCCTGCCACCTTGTCTGCTGCCGGGTCTCCTTACCGCACCATCCCCGTCCTCACTGCACCTCCCCCGCCCCCCAGCCCCACACTGAGGTCCTGCTGGCACCTGCATGCACTTTCCCGGACAGTGTGCTGCCTTTCCTTGTTCCTCTGGGTTCTCTTGGGCTTGGTTTTTTTTTTTGTTTTTTTTTTTTTTTAAAAGATTTTATTTATTTATTTGACAGAGATCACAAGTAGGCAGAGAGGCGGGCAGAGAGAGAGAGAGAGAGAGAGAGGGAAGCAGGGTCTCTGCTGAGCAGAGAGCCCGATGCGGGGCTCAATCCCAGGACCCTGAGATCATGACCTGAGCCGAAGGCAGAGGCTTTAACCCACTGAGCCACCCAGGCGCCCCACTCTTGGGCTTGTTTTTAAGCACGTCTTGCCCTCTGCTTAGAATGCTGCTCCCCCCCCGGTCATCTCTCTCCCTCATTCTTTAGAACTTCGTCTGTACGTTAGCTGGTGGACGAGTTAACTGCCTATGGTACGCCCATTCAGTGGAATGTTAATAAGACATGAAAATGTTGGACAGTTAGGGGCGCCTGGGGGGCTCAGCCATTAAGTGTCTGCCTTTAGCTGGGGTCGTGATCCCAGTGTCCTGGGATCTAGCCCCGCACTGGGCTCCCTGCTCAGCAGGAAGCCTGCTTCTCCCTCACCCACTCCCCTGTGTGTGTTCCCTCACTCGCTGTGTCTCTGTCAAATTAATAAATAAATCTTAAAAAAAAAAGAATATGTTGGACAATAAAAAAAAAAAAGGAACAAAAGACATGCAGGTGTGGAAGGTGACAGCACGGGGAATGTGTCAGGAACAGGGTAGTACCAAGGTGTGGTGACGGGTGGTGATTCCGCCTGTCTGGGTGAGCCCGGGTAATTGTACGGAACAGCTGAATCCGTGCGTTGTACGACTGACAACGGATTTGGGCAGTGTCCCGTCGTCTGTGCACTGCAGCTCAGTAAACGAAAGGCGCAGAGCTGCACGAGGTCCAGGTGCCCTCCAGCCTGGGCGAGCCCTGACAGCACCACGGTAAGTGCAGGGAGCCGGACACACAGGGCCGCCTCTTATCTGGAATGTCCCGAAAAGTCAGGGGACCAATGACTGGCTTCCAGGGGCTGGGCAGAGGGGTGTGTGCGTGCTGGTGGCTGTGGGGCTTCCCACAGGGAAGGGGTGATGAAGACCCCTCCTGAGGTCCTGGAATTAGATGGTGTGAAGGCCCCACACCTGTGAATTGAACAGCGTTCCCCCTGCCCCGTGGTCATGCCCTGTGAGTTACCTTTCAATGTAAAGCCCTCACTAGCACGTTAGAAACCTACTTCAAAGCAGCGCCTTCTCCCAGCCTTCCAGGCAGGGGCCTGCGGTGTCTCGTGAGGCCTGCCTGTGACGGAGCTTGCCCTCTGCGCTGGAATTGTGTGTTTACATGTTTTCCCTTCGGGGCCCACCTCCTGGGGGTGGCGTGGGAGGCACGGTCTCTGCGTGTCCATCCTCGGCTGACCGGACGTGTCCCGTCAGTGCTGTTGGAGAAACGTGTGCGTGCGGAGCGAAGTAGGGTTCTTTCCTGGAGGGTGAGTCAGGCAGCCGGGCAGCTGGACTATAAGTCCGAATGAAGAAATGAAGTCAGTTCTTCGATAAATGTTTAGCAGTGTACTGTGGGGCACTTTAAATGGAAGACATTCTTAAAATGGACTTCTGTGTGTTTTTTTTTTCCTAGAGATTTATTTGCAGAGAGAGACGCAGTGAGAAGGGGAACACAAGCAGGGGGAGTGGGAGAGGGAGAAGCAGGCTCCCCTCTGCGCAGGGAGCCCGATGCCAGGATGGATCAGGGTCCTGGGATCATGACCTGAGCCGAAGCAGATACTCGACGACGGAGCCCCCAGGCGCCCCTTAAAATGGGCTTTTCCACTTCAGAATGTGGTTTCTCAAAAAGGCTAGAGATTGGGTGGCAGACTGTATCCGTACCCCAGCAAGCCAGAACGTCAAGGCCCTGGCAGCAGACACTTACCCAGGAAGAATGGCCCCCGGTCATGTGGGGGGCCACAGAGTGATAAGCCGCATCCGCAGGGTTCCTGGGGCCGGGGTGCGGATGGCTGCTTTCTCCCGCAGCCTGTCCTAGGCCTATAGTGCTCTCCCACAGGCTCCACGACCTGTGGCTTCGGAGGGGGTCCCAGGCAGACGCAGACAGGAGAGCCTAGCTCCCTCGCATCCAGCCAGACGTTAAAGACATTTGTAAAAGTGTAAAACGGTGCGGCTCTGCCAGCGTGCTTTTGTTTTGGGAGTTAGTGTTCATAAGCATGGAACATGGAGTGGGCTCACTGTGATTTTATACAGAATGAACACGTATTTAAATGTTTCCTTAGTTTTATTTTGAGATGGGGTGAGCATGTGTAGGTGTGCTTGGCACAGGGGAAAGGTCTTTCTGAACCTCGGTGATTTTCCACGGTGTCGAAGGGTGCTAAGACCACGACGCTTGCGGACTACTGCAGGAATGGGGCGGGCGCTGAGGCAGGACGTGGCAGGCATACGGCTGTAACTGTCCACGCAGAAGAGCAAAGCGCGGTTGCCTCTGAGAAGGAGACAGGCTCGCGGGTGTTGGCCCCGAGGGTGCCAGGTGCATGTAGGGTGTGCGATGGGGTGGGGCGTTGCGGTCCTGCTTTGCTGGTCTTCTTTTGGCTTATTGTCAACAGGGGCATTTTCTGCACCCAGCTCCGTAGCGCCGGAATCGGGCACACAGGCTGCCTCCCGGTGGGCGCTCAGCTGCTGGTCAGAGGGACGAGCTGGCCGGCCTGAGGCACGTGTGTGCCAGCCTCCCAGTGAGGCCTGGCGTCTCCCCAGAGGGTTTGGTGTTGCCTGCGTGGGCCGGCCCTGGGGAGGGTGTTGGTAGCACGTTCCTGTCTGTAATCAAACCAGTGATCTGTAGCTTCAATCTTTGTTTTGGGGGAAAAATGGACATTTCTGCATAACTGATCTGTTCAGATCATTCTTAGCCACTGCAGTTGGAGCTTGGGATGGGCCGCTCACTTGGCTGACTGTGCTTTTCTTCCCACACCCAGCTGCCCTTGAAGGGCTGTGCTCCGCTTCTGTCATCTACCACTATCCTGGCGGGACTGGGGGCAGGACGGGAGCACGGAGGTTCCAGGGCAGCTCACTTCCTGCGGAAGCAGCCAACAGACACCGGCCAGGTAAGCGCTGCACGGCCCTCCGGCCCAGACTCACTCGGGGTCGGAAGCAGGGGGCGGGGCTCGTGCATTAGTTGCCCGCTGGGTTACACCTGAGAAATGTTCAGATGAAACATGACGGTTGAGTCACGAGTCTTGCATGAGACTTCTCTTCCACTTTCATTGCACATGGAATCTTACTCTTCATGGATTGCAATGATTGGTTGATTTCTGGAACACTTGAATGAAGTTTCTTGGTAGCCTGACCTCAAAGTTCTGTGCCTGGGTCTTTTTCTTAATTTTTGTGTATTAGGGAAGCTGGTCCCAGATGTTGACTTCAACAGTGAGTTCAGGGCCTGGGCTGTTCCTCATTTTCTGGTTTGACGAGGTTCTCTTAACACGCTCGAGTTCCTTACGTTTGTCAGCACCCGTGAGGAGTAAAAAAGTCTTTGGAGGAGCAGAGTCACAAGGGCTTGTCCCATGAACTTCACCCTTCTGACCCTTAGTGAATGACCTGTAGCCTCGGTCGTGAAGATAAGAGCACAGATCCCAGGGGTCAAGGCTTTAACACAGTTGCTAGGCGTGTTTTGATCGATGGGATGTTTGGACACCTTTCCCCCCAGAGAGAGAGCCCTCGGTGGCTCATGTGTGTTGGCTGGGGAAGTGGCCTGAGTGTGTGGTCTCCTGAGTTACACCTTCTCCTGTGGCCAACAGAGAGTGTAGAAGGCTTTTAGGAGCTGGTTTCCCGTGGTGGCACAGCTGGAACCGGTGCATCTTTTGTAGGACTGCTACAGGTGGGTCTATAATGGTTCTGGAGGATTTATTTCATCTTCTTCAGCACGGTGTGCCTCACGACTTCCGTCATCCCCCAGTTGTGTGCGGGGAAGGGGAAGCAGGCTGAGAAGGGGTGAGAGGGATGTGGAGTCTGAGGCCAGGCGTGCCTCTCTCTCCTGTGCTTGGACGCTGACTGGGGTTGGCTGTGGGGGTGCCGGGACTCCTCCTGGTTGCAGTCCTGCCCGCCCTGCTGTGGGTCCCCACGTCTCCCCCCCCCACTGGCTTTGCTTCCTCCTGAGAAGACTGGCTCGTGCTCTCTCTGGGAGCCTTTTGTTGGAGGTGGCGATTTCCCCCTGTGATCTGAAGAGTTCTAATGTGTTGAGACTGTTCTACAGATATGATTAGTGAGACTCTATAGACACTTTTTAGAGAAAGGTTTCATTTTCCCTCTTTGCTGCATGTAGGCAAAGAAAAGGGTTAGACTTTGTTTCAAACGCTGCTTTGTCTGCAGTAGAGAAGTGTCTCTCCTTAGCTCCGCAGAGTGTAAAGGGCTCAGGCTTTCCAACTTTTGGTGACAGCCGATGGCAACGGGGTGCGGTAAAGCCCAGGCCTGGGCAGACAGAGCCCACCGGTCCCGCTCCACTTCCCTTCATGCGGAGAGGGTCCAAGTCCGTCCCTGCGCTCCGTCTCACATGTTGGTTTATCTTGGACGGTGACTTCAGGCTTGTCTGTCTGTGGCCCCTCATCTGTGGCAGGGGTGTATGGCATCTGCTGTCTGGGTGAGGACCAGGCAGCCTGATTACCTAACATTCTCCCTTGGGTTCCTTTCTCAGCAGCAGAAATGCAGATGTCACTTACCGTCATCGTAACCTGGACTGTTCCGTCTCCTGGTCTCTGAGATGGGGAAGATAGTGACGGCACTTCCCTTGTAGGGTTCCCATGAAGGTGTGTGAGACGCACACATGGAGGACCCGGACCCACCCTCCGTGGCCCTGGAAAACTGTTAGTGGCCACGGCAGCCAGAGCCTTAGTGTGGATGGTATGAATTCACGCGTTTGGATTTCCAGCACATGTCCTCCTGTCGAGTTACTCTGGTTGCGAAAGACTTCTGTAGTCCCCACACCCCCTTTACTTTAGTTCTCCTTTTGTCTGAAATTTCTTTTTTAAACTTTCTTTGTATCCAAAAGTTAGAGGCCACAGATTCTTTTTTTTTCTTGGGAGACTCACATGTGAACCTGTAAGTCTGTGTAATAAATGAACAAAACTTGGTTTATTAAAAAAAATCACCAGTATGTTCTGCAATCAACCGGAAAAGAAATGCTCATTGACTTGTAGATGTTTCTTCTCTGGGGTTACTTCTCTTTGGCCTGTCTTAGTTTGTTAATCATCACCGTCATCATTATCAACAAAATAGCTACGGATTATTCCCGACCTGCCTGCCTGGCCAGGAGCTGTACTCAGTGCTGTCCTTGCGTCCTGCCTCCCGGCCGGTGTGGAAAGACACATATCCGTGTCTGCTTTGTTCATCAAGGCTGAAAGACATTGAAAGAGATGCGTCCCCGGCCCCATGCCGTGAGGGGCTGAGGCCTGCCTGGGGTGGGCAGGCTGGTCTGACTGCAGGCCCTTGCTCTGTTGCTCCGCTAACCAGCCTCACTGACTGGTTTCCCGAACATCGGGGAGTTCATCCGTGCCAGACTTCAGTGGTCTCAGCCTGATGCGGCTTGAAAGGAGAGATGTCGGGGGGACTGTGAGACAGAGGGGTATAGATTGAACTTGGACACTTCTGCAGTTGATTTAGTCTCTGCCAACACAGTAAAAAGTTTATTTTAGCTCCATACGCACTAAAAAGAAAACATTTTAAAAATGATGACGGTGCAGAAGAGAAGTGGGCTTTGACATTCCAGACGTTGCTAATGACTTAGTACTTGTTTTTCTCTGGTGATGCTTATTGGGAGAAAAAGCTAGACTTGGTTTTATGTAGTCAAGAGTACGGAAGGAAAGATTAAGTTAGTGAATGTTGAGAGAAGGCAACAATCTAGATTCTTTTCTTTCTGATGATGAATATGTAGGTTTTATGGGACTTGGGGCTTGTCAGCCTTCCTTTTTATGGCCCAAGTCTATTTCCTCACTTGTGGAATGTGAGTGTTACTTGATTTGTGTGACTGTGAGAGTTGGCTACCTTGTGTACGAAGCACCTAGGAGGTGCTCAGTAAACTTTTGCTGAGTATCTAGAAGTATCAGCTTGGAAGACTGAAGAGGACGGTCTGTTTCTGATCTGATTCTGATTTGCTCAGTAGTGTATGTGTATGATAGTCCGAGTAAGACTTAAAGTGTTACGGATATGGTGACAGTTCTTATTGAAGTAGGAAGTTTTGATGAAATTGGTGTCATTCTAGTAAGACGGGAGAACAGCGAAATTGCCTTAAGCTGGAGACTTGATGATTTTTTTGTATAGAATGTATGCTTTTACAACTCAGAAGTCATATTGCCTTGTACTCATTCACTAAAACCTTTAAATCGCTAGGATGTTGACCATAGCCAATACGTTTAGAAAAATGGATATTGAGCTGTTTTCAGGGAATAAGCTTCTCTCTTTTGTGAGTGAAGAAAATTTTGATTTTTTTCTGTACTCTTAATAGGTTAAAAAAAATCAAAACGTTGACTTGACATTGTCCTTTTATTTTAAATAGAGGGAATAAAAGGGGGGCATATCATGCTGTTTTACTGTGAAAATAAACATTTTTGTATGTTAACACAGTTGTATGATTTCTAGTCACCGGCTTTTCTGGAAGTAGGAGACACTTAGACCACCTGCTGTGGGGAAAACAGCTGTGATTCTGCGCGTCCGAGTTGGCGTGGCTCTGGTGGGCGCTGGTAGGGTGCGAGACGCGAGGACTGGGAGTTCGCTTTGCTGCTGAGTGCTGGAAGGACAGACTGTCTGGGCCTCAGGCCCCTGAGAATGCAGGGGCAGGACTGGATGCCCAGGACCCCTTCCTGCTAAGGTTGGTTTCCATGAGCCTGTGTCTTGTTTAAGGCTCCAGATTAAGTGCTGAACTCAGTGCCCCTTCCTACGGCGCAGTTTCGTGGGTGCTAGCGCGGCTGTTGGTGAGGTCCCTGAGCAGCCCGTTTTCAGCAACCTCACCGACCTTTGCTTAGACGCGGGCGAGTTTGGCGGCCCCTTTCCCAGCAACTCGGAGCGCTGCTCTGTGGCCATAGGTGGCGCTGTTGCACCTTTGAAGAGTCTTCAGTTTCCCTTTGCGAGAGACTTGACCAACCGTCCTCTAACTGGGTTTTTTGTTTAATGCTTCGGAGTAGTCCAGAGTCCATTATGTCTGGGTGTTCCAGTTATTCCTCATTTCTATTCCGTCATCTCGGTGTGAACGTTTCAGCTGCGTGAACAATGGGGAGAGTGGCTTTTCCTCCGGTGGTAGAGACCCGTCAGCCAGGCTCTCGTAAACGAGGCAGAAACACTCCCCGGTGTGCCTGGACGCGGGAGAACGTGGAGTCCCCGCGTGTTCACCAGTGGGGGGTGATTTGGTTGCAGGGACCAAGCCTCGTGTTTTGATCGGGTGGGAGTGCGCACGCCGCCGCTTGCCGGTGGGAACCCGAGTCCATGCTTTCCGAGTCTCCTCTTCCGAGACACAAGGACGCTAATGTCTGCTTTGCAGAATTGGGAGGATCAGAGAGAAATTTGTGAAGTGTTTAGCCCAGTCGTTATCTCATAAAAGAGCTCGTGAACTTGGGCTGTTTTTCTGCACGAAGCCATCATTTTATAGTCTTCGGGGGATGGCTAAGGGTTTGAAATATGAAATGATGGTTTTCGGAAGCAAGATGCAATTAAGAACGAGGGAACGGTTTGAGGAGAGTCAGCAGTTCCTGTGCTCAGACTTGTGCAGCAGCACCGGAGATGGGCCCAGTATGTGGTCACTCTGAACCCCGAACACAGAACAGAGAACTTTGTGTTAATTAGTGTCTCTTGGGGTTTCAGGGGGCCCAATCATTGCACTCCTGTTTTCCCCACCAGCCAGCTGGGAGACAAGATGGAAGAGGAGGCAAGTGGAGACAATGGGCACCTTTAATACTGATAAAGCCCCATTCTCCACGAGCTTTAGGGATGCAGGAGAATGGGCAGGTTGTACCAATGTAATCCATCCACCCTCACAGTTGTGCCCATCTTACAGATGTGGAAATCAAGGTACAGACAGGGTAAGTAACCTGACCATGCTTACAGAGCTAGCAAGTGTCAGTGCAGGGGTCTTGGCTCCCAGAGGCTGGCTTCAGGGCGTCAGCCTGTCTGTAGATCAGCAGGGGCAGCTATCCATGAGTCAGGGCCTCGGCCAGTCTAGAAAGAGTGGCAGAGGGAGAGTTCCATGAGTGTTGACCGTGAGAGACCGTGACTGTCACCGTGATCAGCCTTGATCACTCATCTAGGCCGCAGGTCTATCCCTGTAACAGAAAGGGAGTCCCAGTTAATCTAGGAAAACCCCTTCCTGTTCGGCTTCTGTCCATGCTCACCACATCACCTCCTGCCTGTGATTGGGCCATTGAGGAGAAAAGTGCTGATTGTTGAACTGTGATATTTTGGTCTGATTGATGATTATGTCTTCTATTGCATTCATTAGTAAGTCCAGCCTCCACTTTTCGTATGTGAGTCTTTTAGGAATCTGGTTAATGTGGAATCAGTCTGTTGGAGCCTGATGATGCTGATCATCCCATCCCTGAGCACCTCGAGGTACTTCTGCCCATGGAGACCTGGCTGGAAGTCACCCTGTCTCTCACCGTGTGATTTCTTCAGACAGCACTGTTCCCCCGCCACCACCCGCATAAGACAAGGGCCCTCTGACGAGGCCAGATAATAGTGAAGTCCACGGGCTTCTCCTCCCAATCAGAAAACTCTCAGTGCCTAAAAGGGAGCTAATGAAAGGCTTCCAGGAAGTCCACTTAGAGGTTAAAGTCCATTTGGGAAATGCTGTCCATTTTTGTTCACAGCTGAGCTTTTCCTCTGCTGTTTGAGAAAACTGCGCCATGTGGCTTACCGACTGCTGTTAGACTCTATGCCGGGGACTTAAAAGGCAGGAGAGGGTGGTTTCATGCGGTCCATCCGCACCAGTGAGAAGCGAGCGTCGGCCGCCTGTGTGAGCCACGGGACAAAGATTTTTACATGTTGAACAAGAGAATTTTGAAAGCTCTGCCTTCGGGGTGCCCTTAGTATGGGGCCGAGTTCATCACTGGATGAGCTGAGAGGTCAAATAATCCATGATGGGGAGAATGAGCAGAGCAGGGAGGAGTCCCAGCCACGCCCCCTACTTCACGGGTATGGTGCCGTGTAAGGTATCTGACCGGTTTCACACGGAACAAAGAGTTTCTCGCGTTACCTGGAAACCACGCATGCCCCAACGGTCCATGCAGCTGAGTGTCCCCGCAGGGCAGGTCTGTCCGCGCGGTCCCGTGGCGTGGAGGGGGGGGCAGAGTGATGTGGGGCTGGCTCCTCTGACCGCTCTCCCCTCCGCAGCCCTGCGGCCTTAGTCATCACTGTCTCCCTTGCAGGGCTGCTCGGACAGTCACACGCGCTGGCTGTCAAGCATGCTGCTCGGCGTGTGGTTGGTGTACAGCAGAAAGCACCTGTTTGTTTGTTATAATCGTGCCTTCTAGATGACAGTGAGTTCTTATCTGCATTTAAATATAGACATCGCAGTATGCAAAGTAGCTCTTAGATAGGACTGTGGGACCCATTCTCCATGTAAAGGATTGAGTAACTGCACTATTTCAGTAAGAATTTGTATCGCTGGGACATACCTTCTTGAATCTTGCTAACATGTTTAAAAATGATCGTAGCTAATGATAAACACAACTCTTGGAACCAGTACTTCTCAGGGTACGTTTTGCCATCATGGGAAATTGCATTCTGCAGAGAAGGCTAGTTAGATCGCATGGACACTTGGGTGGTTGGGCAGACGATCGAGCTTCTTGATAATAACGGAGGGAACTCTTTTGTGTTGTACCTTCTAAGAGCTGGGGAATCCTTAGCCTGTGAAGCATCCAGGAATTCAGTGAGTGCGTGTGTGAGTGAGTGTGAGTGTGAGATTTCAGGGGGATGGCGCCAAGTTCCTTGTGATAATTTGCCCTCCATTCCAAGCTGTGGGCATGTATTTGCACAAACAAATTATTACTCCTTTGTCATTTGGCTTATCTGTGGGAATGAGAAATTCTCCTACTTGATTAAGGAGGTTGGGGGAGTGTGCGTTCGGGGGGGGGTGGGAGGGCAGGAGGCAAGAGGCCCTCCACAGTGCAGCGTGGGAGTAAGGGCCCCTGTTTTTTCTTTCCTCCAAAGTAAAACGGCACTAACTGGTGGTACACTTGTCCTCAGAATTGCTCTCCTGATAGGATAGAAGTGCCTCAGATTTTACAAGGCGATGTGAATCATGAAATGTGATTAGTAGTTGTCTTTGAAAGTAGTTTTGTTTTCCAAATAAAAGACCATAATCTGTTCTTTCTTCCAGGGGCACAGGAAGTTCTCATTGACCCAGGTACATGATCTATGTGCTTAGTTTCTTTTGGTTCTTTTTTTAAGTGCTTGTTTCATGGTGGCGTGAATGAATGGTTAAAATTTCTGGATTGTGATCTTTGGAACGCTCTGATTTAAGTAACTTTAAATCAGAACTGTCAAAAACCTGAGTATTGTTTGGTCCTTGTCTGATGGGCCACCCGGTTGATTTATGCTGTCTGTCGAACAGGGGAATTCTTTCTCCAGCATGGGTAAGTGAATGATTTGCAATGATTTAAAATTCTTTGAATGCATTGAGCATGCTTATCCAGTTAATTTCGAATTTATTCATAGTAATGACTCTGCTCGATTTTGTGGTTTGTGCCCTTTCAATGTGAATTTCAATTCTCGATTGCATCTTTGTATATGTATTCTTAACAGAGAAAGAAATTTTGTGTTTTTTACGGAGGTGGGTTTTCTTTTCTTAATTCTGTAATTAATGTAGCAAAATCTCTTTTACTACAGTGCCTAATTATTTCATAATGAGCTCTATTATTTTCTGGGTTAATTAAAATCAATGACAAAGGTAAATAAAAAGAAATGAAAAACTTCTTTCTTTTGAAGAACAGAAATCAGATAGTCATGTTAATAAATGTTTTGTGACCAGTGCGTTTATGTTCATCTCATTGTGTATCTCCATTCTGAAATGAAATAGCTTCAGGTTTGCAGATTCTTGTTTTAACATCTGTGTTGAATCCTCCCTCTAGACTGATGTTTTCTTTCTCTCTTTTTTAATTTAGAAAATTTCCCCCTCCTTAGTTTATTGGGATAAAATTGACATACAGTGGTACTAGTTTCCTATTAGGGGTTATGGAAGGTATAGAGGAAGGAAAACAGATGGCTTTGTTTTGTTTTCAGGAGGCCTAGTTGGTGATGAGAAAATAATTTGGGGTTGGGCTGAAGAATTGAATGACACCCCCTCCCCGCCAGCTGAAAGAGATGAACAATTAGATCAATGTTGGCTGCATTGGTATTTGGCCAATAGAGGTTGCTGAGTCCGATCTGGCGAGTTATGCCTGATGGAAAGTACTGAATTTTACTGTGTTGACCACTACTTGCAGGAGAATTAGATGTTTACACCAAGTAAAAGTGGCTTTTAGCTATCAGAAAACCAGTCGTGTATTGAGATTTAAAAAACAAACAAACATCTTTTTTATATCTGAAACTTTTCAAAATAAGGTTGAATGGAGATGAAACTGATTTTAGAGTACTGGGGGCAGAAGGGGGAGGCATCTGCAGGCTTTGTTATATGGGAATGTGTGGGGATCCTGCTGTAGAGGTTGGAGCTGGCAGGAAGGAACTGGGAAACCAGCATTGGGTGTCTGAGGGCCTCTCCTGCAGCCTTCCCAAATTAGAGAAACATGGACTTGATCTTTGTTCCCAAGGAGAGCAAGTGCAATATTGAAGTTCTTCTCTCCCCCTACCTTCCAGTTCATGACGCTTGTGCCTTCTGGCCTCTGCTCATGGGGGCTTTTGTGCCAGCGCTGGCCACAGCCTCTTCCTCACTTACTAAGGTCTGATCTTTCAGGCATCAGACTTGAGGGAGTTCAGAGCAGGTCTCCCCAAACTGTGCCGCTTTGGCATGTGGAATCTTTTGAGCTGAAGGTAATTGAAACTCCAGGGGATCAAGAGAAACATTTGTCTCTCCCTTAACTACCCAGAAGAATCTCAATTTGGTGTCTTTACCAGAATAAGAGTTATTACTGGAGATAAATTTTATATGAATGACCCATCTGTCTGGCAGGGTGTATCTCTAATTACCAAATTGTACTTTCCCTCTTATTGTCCTGTGAATTGTGCTCCTCCCTTTCAAAACCCCAAGCTTATCCCATTCCTTAGCTCAGGATGGCATAGATGCCCTCATTTTACCTGTCTTTGTGCCCTCATGTATGTGAGGTTCCCAAATAAATTAAATTTGATTTCTGTTAATTTGTCTCATGTCAGTTTAATTCTTAGACCAATCAGAGGAACCTTTGAAGGGTAGAGGGAAAGTTTTCTTCTGCAGCAGTTTCTTTTCTGCTGTTCAAACCCTGGCAAATGAGTTGGTAGGGAATCACTTCACAACTGCTAGGAGCAATGTGTACGATTCTCCTTAGTCTCTAAATCTGAACGCTGAACGAACGTTCTCTTCAGGGTTATAAAATTGTTCTGTCCCTTAGAAAACCCATCCATATGAAGTTTTGACAGAATTACATCATTCCATTTTGTTTTTAGAAACTTAAATGGATATACTATTCAAAACGACCTGTTTCAGAATTTTTTTTTCCCTGCCTGCTTTTCCTACAACTTTTTCAAAGACCAGAAGGGAAAGAGTTTGACAGTCTTTGGGTGCTTGCTCCAAAGTTTGTTTTAAGAACCAAGCTTCTCCGCTCATCATTTCTGGCAGCTAGGCTTCCGAGACTTGATCTGCATTTGAAACAGAATGCTTCATGGTGTCAGATTGTTTTATTTCTTGTCACTTCTGAATATGCCCTGTCCATTCAGCAACTGTTTTAAGGGAAATGGTTTTTCTGGCCAATTTCAGTTAATTCAAATCTGCTTTCCCATTTTCACATTGAGGGGATTTTCTTCTGCCTGTAATAAAAATAAACAATTTGTGCTTACTGTGTGAAGGCACTGTTCTAAGTGCTTTTTTTCCTTAAACAGCTTTAATACAGTCTACACCTTTAAAGTACACAATTGTATGCTTTTTGCTACATTCCCAGAGTTGTACATACATGACCTTAGGGCATTTATCACCCCAGCAGGAAGTCCCATGCCCCTTAGCGGTCGCTCCCCACTCAGTCCCAGGCAGTCACTCATCTGTCTCTGTGGGTTTGCCTGTTCTAGACTTTTCATGGAAATGGAGTCATACAACAGTGTGGTCTTTTGTGACTGTTCTCACTTAACATAATGTCTTCAAGGTTTGTCCGTGTTGTAGCATGAATCCGTACTTCCTTTCTTTTTACTGCAGCTAACATTGTTCCATATGAATAGACCACTTTTTTTTTATCCGTTCATCAGTTGATGGGCACCTGGTTTGTTTCCACTTTATGGCTGTCATCGGTAATGGTACTGTGAACATTCAACAAACAAGTTTTTGTGTGGACATGTTTTCAGTTCTCTTATTTTTAAGCCTAGTAAATAGAATTGCTGGGTCATATGGTGACTCAGTGTTTGACTTTTTGAGGAGCTGCCAGATTGTTTTCCAAAGTGACTGTGCCATTTGATGTCCTCATTGGTGGTGTATGAGAATTCCGGTTTCTCTGTGCTCGCCAACACCCATTATTACCCTGTGGAGCACAGTCGCTTCAGGGAGTGTGACTGGTGGTATCTCACTGTAGCTGGGTTCCACCTTCCCTTCGAGCTAGTGACACCGAGCATCTTTTCATAGTGCTTATTGGCCATTTGCATATTTTCTTGGGAAAAAATGTCCATTCAGATCCTTTACAGGACATTTTTTACTTGAGTTATTTGTCTTTTTGTTACTGAGTTGTAACAGATCTTTTTTGTATTCTGGATACAGGTCTTTATCTGATACATGATTTTTAAAAATTTCCTCCCGGTCTGTGTGTTGTCTTTTCACTTTCTTGATGGTGACCTTTGAAGCAGAGATGTTTTAAATTTTGTTGAAGTCCAGTTTATCTGTGTTTTCTTTCTTGCTTGTGATTTTAGTGTCATACCTAAGATACAAGGTGTTGTATATAAACTTTCCATATGAGGCGATTTAATCCTTACAGAAATTTTAGGAAATAGGTGTTGTTGTTATGCCTCATTTGTAGATGAGGAAATTGAGATGCAGAAACGTTCACAGACCTGCTCAAGGTCACAGCTAGTAAATGGTGATGTGGGAATTCAGATGCATGAGTTTGTCTCCAGCATCTGTCCTCATAACCACCATATTCTGTTCCTTTCTGTAGGAATCATTTATTAAAAACTCTTTGGTTATTTGATTTCTTACTATTTTTTTTCCTCAGTGGGGCCTCATCTCTTTCTTTACTGTGCAGAATTCAGTGCAGGTTTATTTAGGTCTAATGTAGGGGGAAGCATTGCTGTCAACGAATTTCTGCATTACTCACCTTCCGGTGATGATTGTTGCTGACTGACCCGAGAAAGTCAAGCTTCAGCCTCTTCTGTTCATCACAGTAAAACTAGAGTCATGACTACAGAACATTCAAAGAAAGCATTTGGTTGATTTCATTTTGCTAACCAATGAAATAAAAAACTCCAGTTTTGAGATAGATTCTAAGTCTTCCAGAATAGGGTCATTGTCTTCCTTATACCCATTTTGTTTGCTCGTAGTATCCAGATAGGGCCCCTTTGTCCAGCAGATGAGTTAGAACAGGGTGATCGTGAATCATCATCTGTAGTAACGGAATTTTGAAAACAGTATCTGTTGTTTGTTTCACGAGGGAAAAGATAATTTGGAAATACTTCTCAGCTCTATTTTAAAAGCTTGGAACTTTGAGAAGAGTTCCAGAAGCCATACATAGCTATTTTCACTAATTTTAGATCCATCCTAGATATCTTATGGTTACCTAGCAGAGTGAATTCATTAAGTAGACTTGACAAGAGAAGTGTAATATTGATTATTTATCTTAATTAAAATATTCTGCTTCGGTGAAAGTAATTAGCACCGAGAGTAAACAAAAATAAGCTTGCATTTGCATGCGACGTGGGATAGACTTCCTCTCTATTTCTATCTGTGTTTTGGGAACATTTTTTAGCTTTTCAGCAGTGTTCTAACTTTAGAATTCTATTTAAAAAATCATCACTTTGTCTAGTGCAGTTTGTGCTGAGTTTAACCTGTCTTAGGCTCAGAATTTCACTGTTTCCTAGGTAAAGATTTTCCTCTCATTATACTGAGTTAGTGTCAGAGTTAAAGGAATTGTGATTTGGGCCTTTCCTCTCCATATATTTGCAGTTGGCTATGAAATATGATTTTCTTTCATTTCTTCAGTTTTCATTATTCAGTTAGAATTTTTGAAAATTAATTTGTTTTAA